TCCGAGTAGCCAGAATTACAGGCACGCGCTACCACGCCCGGCTGATTTTTTGATTTATTGTAGAGATGAGGTCTCGCTGCCCAGGTGGGTCTCGAACCCGCGGGCTCAGGCAATCCACTCACCTCAGCCTCCCAAAGGCGCGGGATTACAGGCTGAGCCACCGAGCCCGGCTTGTGTACCTGGCTTTTTTAAAAATTTATTGTGAAGATGAGGTCAAGTTACCCAGGCTGGTCTCAAACCCGTGTGCTCAGGCAGTCCTTTCACCTCTGCCTCCCAAAGTGCTGGGATTATAGGCATGAGCCACTGCGCCCAGACAAAAATCATTTCTGGTCACTAGAACTTGTTCAGGGTTGTGGCTCAGTGCCCGGCATAGTGAATAACTCAGTAGTACACATTTGTTGAATGAATGAGCCAAATGAAATAAGGTGACCTGAGAAGGGTGTGATAATAGCAGATGAAAAGCCAATCAACGTTAGTCATTAAGGATTTATGCTTGTTATTACAGTGTTTACAGTATCTACTTATCAGAAGAGGGCTGTGTGTTCATATTTGCATAACAAATTAGCTCAAAAAAGTAATTCATCTAGAACAATAGTCCCTATCAAAGGTGAGCTCAAGCTCCAACCTTGCAAAACAGAAAGGACTGGCCGCTTTGAAGTCACAGACCCTCACTGGGTCCCCACCCACAGGTTTACCAAAAATTCATAGGTGGTTTTCCCCCTGGCCTAAGGTGGCAGCTGTTCAAATGGTGAGTTACAGGTAAGGCGAGGCTGGCTGTGTTTCAGGGGAGGGGAAGGTTATTTCCACCTTGTGGCTGCACAAGGGGACCTCGCACTGGGCACTGAGAGACAGGTAACATGAAATGGGTGAAAGGGTTGGCAGGGGGCGGATGGGGACTTGGAAGGAAGGATTGTAGATGGAGGGACAGACTGTCTAGCTGAGTGGAGAATCAGACGCTGCCATACACACGCTGCAGCCCCAAGACGCAGCCAACCAGACGGTCGCCCATAGCCTCTCTTGACCATTCTGGAGCCACTGATGGAATCAGGTGTGGAGGACGACGGTGGCATGGATTCCATCCCCACCCCTTACGTGAGTGGTGGGAAATAAGGCCAAGGTGGGGCACGAAGAGTCTCAAATGCCGGGCCAGAAGATCTCCAAGCAAGGCCACCAAGATCAGTGAATGACAGTGAGAGGACAGGGGTTTAGGAGAAAAGAGACCAACTTGGAGAGGCCAGGGTGAAGGCTGGTCATGGTCCAGCATGAAAGAGTAGCGGATCGGGCGCGATGGCTCACGACTATAAAACCCAGCACTTTGGGAGACCGAGGTGAGAGGATTGCCTGAGTCTGCGGGTTTGAAACCAGCCTGAGCATCTTGGTGAGACCTCATCTCTTTAAAAAAAAAAGAGTGGAGAGTCCAGAATTGGGAGAGAAGTGATAAGAATAAGAAAAGAAGGGCAGTTATGCATTGATGGGTTAGAAGCTTCCAGTGGGGCTCCACGGGTCAGAAGAGCTGCAGCCCAGTTTGGGCAGGAGTTCTCGGGGATTTGTCCTAATGCTTTTGACTGATAGGATGCTATGATGTGCCTCTTCAAAATAATAGCCCCCAGTGCCTACTGGCTACATCGTGAAGTGGAAATTATGAAGGCACTGTTTCTTTTAAAAAAAATCCCCTTCCTGGCACTTCCTTAAAAACAACTATTTAATGCAACTCTGCCAGGGTTTTCTGGATAGTTGAGTCTTAACTATTCTGATTTAAAACAACTCTTTTTATGACAGCCTACCATTGAATTAGCAATTCTGATATTAATGAAACAGCTTTTCTTTTTTGTTTTAATTTAGTATCCCTGTCATGGCGAATTGAAGGGTTGACGTGTCTTCCTGGTAAGTGTAGCTGATACTTTTCAAAACACCTTCTAATCGCTGTTTCTTATTGTCTGCCTGTTCCGTTGCAAGGAATGTTAGGCAATTAAAGTCATCTGTGATGTTTTCAAGCTTCTTTTAATGGCTGCGATAGTCCTGTGGAGTATTTTAGTCAAAGACAGGTTCATTGTAAGTATTTGGTTCAAAATACAACTTTCAGCCCCTTGGTTCTTTTGGGTCAGCATAATTAATTGAACGACATTGACATGGCTCTCAAAAGACGTACTATTGATAATATTTATTTAACAACCCAGCCTGAAGAGTGATTTATGGATTGTCTTCTCATATTTTCTTTCAACTGACATGGTGTGGTATTTCAAAGAGCCCTCAGATTTTTGATATTTGACAAGTTATATTGATATATTATGGGTGTGTATAATATTGGCAGTAAATTACATGCTCTCATTTTGTTACTCATTGTTAAACACTGATGAGTAAGCTTGTGTTTGCAGGATAAATGTTAAGAACTTATGTAAACAGTTGCTGGTTTTGCTAAATGAAATGACAAGCAATGTCAGACCCACCATAGTTATTTTGATCATGTGGGTTTGTTTGTTTGCTGTGTACTATAGAATATGGAGTTAAAAAGCATTTGATTGTGGGTCTGTGTAATAATTGTTTATATAAAGCAAAATCTAAATTACTGAGATATGAAAGTAGATAACAAAGTTCTAGACTACATTTCTTAACCTTGGATTCTAGGAAGTTCAAGGATAGACTTCACGGGCTAAATTTTATTAGTAATGTAAATTCAGTCTTTATCAAAGAAAGAAGAAAAAGTAGGTCTTTCACCAGATTCTCAGAAGGCAATAATGACACCAAAAAGGTTAACAAAAAAAACAAAACACTGTTATAAAGGAAGGCTATGCTAAGGTAAACAAATTTTGATTTTCAGAATTTTAAAATACTTATATGAATTTTGAAATACTTGAATATACCTTTGTGTCATTTCCATTTTCTCTTATCAGGTAAGTAGTTTAGGTAATTAACTCTACTTAGCTATTTTAACATTTTAAAAGTTTTTTTGTTTTTGTTTTCATTTTTGTTTTGAGTCGGAGTCTCACTCTGTTGCCCAGGCTGGAGTGCAGTGGCACACTCATGGCCACCGCTGGGCTCAGGCGATCCTTCTCAGCCATCCAAGTAGTTGAAACTACAGGCACGCACCACCATGCCCTAATTTTTTGATTTATTGTAGAGATGAGGTCTTGCCATGTTGCCCAGTCTGGTCTGAAACCTGTAGGCTCAGGCAATCCTCTCACCTCAGCCTCCCAAAGTGCTGGAATTATAGGCATGAGCCACTGCACCCGGCCTAAAAGGTTTTTTTTAATGATGGAAAGGTTAAAAAAAAAGTATGTAGAAAATTTTGTAGAAAGAAAATCTGTATTCCTCAAAGATAATTCAGATGGTACTTTTGGTTTATATATAATGTAGATATATTCTCTTTTTTCCCCTTTTTTTTTTTCGAGTCAAGGTCTCACTGCTGGAGTGCAGTGGCACGATCACAATTCACCTTGATCTCCTGAGCTCAGGCAATCCTTCCGACTCAGCCTCCTGAGTAACTGGAACTACAGGACCACACTGGATATTTTTTAATTATTTTTGTAGAGACAAGTCTCGTTATGTTGCCCAGGCTTACCTCGAACTCCTAGGCTCAAGCAGTTTCCCACCTTGGCTTTCCCTAAATGCTGGGATTACAGGCATGAGCCACTGTGCCCAGTCAATATTTTCAGAAAATATTTTTGAGCAAGAGTTTCTCATTCAGAAACAAATTAGAGGCTGAATTTACTTTTGGTTTTAAAATATCAAACTTTTTCAGAATTGCCCATTTATTCTATTTGATTTATTTTTCTATCCCTTTCTTTAAGCAACGAGTGCCAAGAAACAGAATTGTCAGTTTATTAATGAAGTATGGTAAGTTGACATTTTAAGATCGTCTTTGCTCTCCTTCCATTTTAAAAATAAAATAAAATATTTGGATCCTATTAATAAAGATATGAATTAGAGATTTGCAAAGCAGTTAGATTTTAGATTTTGGAGACATACTTTTGAAGTTAAGAGCATTTCATTTTAAGTAACAATTCATAGATTATGTTCACTGAAGATACTTTCTTGATCATTTTTTCTAAATCAATCTCCCCTAAGCTATAACTCTTTGCTAACATTTTACAAAAATGGTTAGTACTATACTGTAGAATAAGTTCCATTCTCTAAATACTATCTTGTGGTGTAGTGGTTCTCAGCTGGGGTCGATTTCGTATCCTAGGATACACTTAATGATGTCTGAAACATTTTTGACTGTCACAACTGTGGGAGTGTTACTTTCGTCTTGTGGGTAAAGGCCCGGGATGCCGATAAACATCCCACAATGCACGGGACAGCCCTCAACAAGGAAGACAGCAACTCAAATGTCAAGGGTGTCAGGGCTGAGAAACCCTCTTTTAAACTGAATACTATTTTATAAAGGGAAGAGTAAGTTTCCATGGTGACTTCATAACTCCAAATTCTGCCACTGTTCCAACAGACTTGTGCTGAACAAGACAAGCTGGGTCAAGCATTCCAAGATGCTTTTGAGGTGCTGAGTCAACATTCAGCTGGAGACCTTCAGTACTCCCCAGGTAAAAATAAAGCATTCCCCCTCTTCTGCTGGTACGTCAAACGGCTTGTTGGTCACATAACACATACACAAATAATGATCAGCTGGGCATGGTGACTCATGCCGGTAATCCCAGCACTTTGGGAGGCCGGGACAGGAGGATTGATTGAGTCCAGGAGTTCGAGACCAGCCTGGGCAACATAACAAGACCTTGTCTCTACAAAAAAAAAGTTAAAACGTCAGCTGGGCATAGTGGCCCGCGCCTGTAGTCCCAGCCTCTAGGGATGCTAAGGAGGAAGGATTGCCTGAGGATGGGAGGTTGAGGCTTTAGTGAGCTGTGATCCTGCCACTGCACTTTAGCTTGGGTGACAGAGTGAGACCTCTAAAGCAACTGGGATATTCCAACAAAGATAAAACACACTCAGGGTTACCTAGTCTAAATGAAAATCAAAGTCTCATGTATAAAAATGCAAAGAATATAGAGTGACATTCCATACGGTAATATAAAGGCATATAATTGTCTGCTTTTAAGAACATCTGGCCAGGCTCGGTGGCTCAGCCTGTAATCCCATGCCTTTGAGAGGCTGAGGTGAGTGGATTGAGGGTTCGAGACCCGCCTGGGCAGCAAGATCTCATCTCTACAATAAATTTTTAAAAATCAGCCGGGTGTGGTAGCGTATGTCTGTAGTTCCAGCTACTTGGAAGGCTGAGGCAGAAGGATCACTAGAGCGGCGCCAGAGTGAGACAACAACTA